CCCCCCGCCTTCCCCGGCGCCTCCCCCGGCCCACAGCCCCGAGCCCGCCCGGTCCGGAGCGCGGCGGCGGCGCGGCCGGAGCGCGGCCATGGGCTCCCGGCTGAGCCGGCAGAGCAGCCTGGAGGAGGAGAGCGGCGAGGAGCCCTGCTCCGGCAGGCTGGAGAGCGGCCGGGGCGACTTCCACCTCTCCTCGCTGCTCCTGCACCCGCAGAAGCTGCCCGGGGTGCTGCGGAAAGCCTCGCCCGCGCCCTACGTGCGGCGGGTGGGGTGGCTGCGGGAGATCCAGGCCACCATCCGGGAGCACAAGCGGGAGCACGCCGTGCACATCCTCCGGCTGCTCAGGAAGGTACCTGCCGCGGGATGCGGGGCGGGGCAGGGACAAAGGGCCGTGCGGGGCCGGGGCTGCAGCCCCCCCCGGTGCAGGATGCAGGAGCCCCCTCCCCGGCGCTGGGGTGTGCAGCCCTCCTTGGCGGGGCTCTTTGTGCTGCCTTTCTCCGCTCCGTGCCCCCGTCCTTCCGCCGCTCGGTGCCCACCGTGCCAGGCGACACCAGCCACCTCGCCGACCCCCAGCCTGGGCTCTGCCGGGGCAGGGAGGGGGGCTGGCAGGGAGCTGCCAGGGGGACTGTGCTGCACGCAGGAGAAGGGGGGTCCGGGCTTGGGCTGTGCTCACCCACGCCCCTCCATGCCAGCCCGCGGGTGTGCTCAGGATTGATGCCCCTCCAGAAAAAAGCCACTGCCGCCCCACTGCCACCACATCCCATTATGGCCACTCAGCCAGACTGGCTGATATATGTCTGGGAAACCCTAAAATGGCTTTGGAGGGCACCTCTGGGACAATCGAGGCTGAGAGCAGAGGTAAAGGGGTCAGTGTATCAGTGGGAGCATGTTTCAGTCTGCCGCCATTCAGGAACAGAAAAGCCAGTGTGCAGACAGTGTGGTGCCAAACTGATGCTGAGGACAGAGCCCTGCTGCTGGAACAGAGCCATCTCCTCCATCACTCCCTGCTACCATCACTTTCCAGCCAAACTCAGCTGCCCCAAACTGCAGTCAACTCTGTGACTGGTAGCACAGGGGACAAAGCCCACCTCTGAGTGGACATCAAACACCATCAGTTTGTAGCTTGTCATGTTGCTTCATTAGATGATGATCATCTAACTTCATCTTGGGAATGTACCTTATTTCTTGCCTTAGTAGCAAGTGTCCTTTGGGTGTGAGTGCAGTGGAGCAGGACTGGTTCACTGGATGCTTGTTCACCCACACCACCAGCTGCAGGGAGCTGCATGAACAGCCCTGTCTGCTCTGCATGTCCAGGGTTTTACAACACATCTGACAGTGGTGCTCACTGCCCTGGGCTACCAGGATGTTACACACTCACAGGTAAGAATTCACAGGACCAAAAATTACATCTCTGCTTTTCCTGTCCACTACTTTAGCATTCACTTGAAGATTGTTACCAGCACCACACTCTTGTTGCCACATGTGCAGAGAGATAAACTCACAGCAAACCTCTGTGTGTGCACCAGTATGGCAGGCAAGGGTTGAATAAGATTTCGAAGGCAGTTTTGGAGAGGCACTATTACAAGAAGCTTGTGAAGAAAGAGAGGCAACCATTCACTTCATGGATGTGGCAATGTAGCATGAACAGAATTTACTAGGGTGTGCCAGCGGCCAGAACTACAGAATGTCATTTTCTGTAGTGCTCAGCACCTCTCCTGGAAACTGAAGCACTGAAACCTTCCACAGATCCCGGAGGTCTCCAGAAGGTCCATCTGTGAACAGGCAGGGTTTGAGTGCTAAGTTACAGGGCCATATGGAATGGAGGGTCATTTCCAAGCTCCTTTCAGGATCAGTTAAACACTTGGCTTCCCCACATCTGCGCTTGAGAATTACCATGTCATGAACATTCACATTTTGCCTGCTGCCTTTCCAGTTCCCCATGTTATTCCTGGTCCCCTTCTCTGCCTGGCCATGTTGAAACAGTGACTGTCTGCCCATCTGCTCACAACAGAACAGTGGGACATGCATCCTGTAATCACAACATCTTCTACCAAGCAAGACGGGAACCCATCCAGCAACACCCCAAAGCCTCTGGTTCATTGAGCACTCAGAGGTTTCAGAGGCAGAGGCTTTACACCACTAATGTGTACCACACCCCAGCTGTCACCCAGTCTGGGGTCATGTAATCACCACCAGTCCTCCTCACGTGTCCAATGTCAGCTTCAGGTCAGCCTTTTTTTCTAACTCACAGGTTTTCCTCACTCCACAGCTATGTTCACCCCTTAGCTTGGCCCCCAACGTGTCCCTCCTTACCTTGGCAGGGTCACACTCTCGGGAGTCACGGATTAATGTGTCCCAGGTGAGGGTCTGTTTGTTACCTGGAAAAAGAGAGATACCTTGTTCACTCTAGTGGACAGGGAGGATATTTAACACCACACCTCATCACTGTGCCTTGGGCCAGGGTGCAAACACCCCAGGGAAAGCAGAGAAATGGTGGGACTGGAACTGCAACCTGCTCAGGTGAGCAGACAGCTCAGCCAGACCAGAGGATATGGGATCCCCTGTGTGCCTCCTGCTGCTCCCAGCACAGCCCCCCTTGCCCAGCTCTGCAGGTGTACCCTGCTGATGGATCTGCCAGTGGTTTTTCACCTGTGGGCTGCAGACTTCAAAAGGCTGCAGACTGTTCCTAGGATGTTCAGAGGGTGTGATAATGTAAAGCAAGCAAGGCAGGCAGAAGCAGATCCACTAACAGAGATGTGAGATCCCAGCATTTCAGAGGACTGCATGGAGAACAGCTGCAAACTGCAGGTGCATGTGTGCTTTGTACATGAACACTTGAACAGCTCCACTGCACATCATCTACCCCAGAATGCCCACCAGCAGAAGCCAGATCAGCTTTCCTGCTGATCTAGGTGGGCATCAGCTGAAGCCCAGGGAGACATTAGACTTACACCAGCAAAAAGTCTGGTATAATCTATTTTCCCTGCGCTGAGATGATGGCAAAGTGTCATTTTTAAGACAACAGCACTAAGCCAGCTGAACTGGCAAGAGTTATGATATTCTGCTGTCTGCAGCCACCTTTTAGGTGGTACAAAATTTTCCAAGAAATGAGAGAGAGAGGGAGGGAGAGAGGGAATGGAGATGAGCTGAAAAATGCCTCTGGGCTAAGATTTATGGAATATCAATGTGAAGTGAACATTTACAGCTATATTACTTACAAAACCCTCGCAGGCAAGATTTATAATGGGAATGCAGATTCATCTTAATGGTATAGTTCCAACTGGGGGAGTTTAATTACTGCTCTGACATCCACTGCTGCATGCCCAGCCATGCCATCCTCACGGCAGCTTTCTTCATCTGTGCACATTACACTTGGTGTGGGAGGCTCCATTTCCCTGAAGCCTTATGGTTAAGGGAGACACTGGCATGATGCCTTGGTAGGCTTCTGGCCCATATCCAGCTGTGGCTGTCTGTCCTTCAGGACTGATCCATTGCTTGGGTTCCTTAAGGGTGTCATTTGTGTACACAGAGTGATTGGGCTGTAAAGTATTTAATTTATTCTCCCTTCCTGTGTCTCTAGCCAGGGTCTCTGTGGGGTTGTGGTTTCTGCTCAATCCAGCATATCCAGAGCAGGATGCAGCACAGGCTTTGATTGGTGCTTGGAGTTAAGATCCCAAACCTCTGCCAGCTATGGCTCTGCCCCTGTTGGTGATGTATGTGCATACATCCAGCTTTTTTTCCCCCTCTCACTCCATTTTTTTTTAGCTCTCAGTCACTGGGTGGTGCCTGAAACACACACTCAGTAGAGCAGTGTGAACATATGGGGCACCCATTTGCTTATTCATTTCTCCTGTCAGCTGCATACAGAATGGGGGGAAAACTTGTTCCCTCCCTTAGCTGAGCCCTCCTTATCAAGTGAATCAAACCAAGCACTATCCCTACTAGGGAGCTTTTCTGTTCTAAATTTCTACACCTAGGGTATTTTTTTTTTGCCCATGTGGCATTTTCATGTGAATATGTGATCTCTCTTTCCCACATTTTTTAAAAATTGTATTTGTTTTTCACAGCTCTGTGGTACCTTCTGATTGTAATAACTGTGTCAATATATTAGCTCTTTGCTTTCCTCTTAGCAAGAAACAGCTTTGTTCTTTGCAGTATTATCCAGCCCCAGGAAGGCTTTTTGTTCCCAAAGATGCTGAGGTTTCCTCCAAAGGTTCCCCATCCCCTGATCCACACAGATAAGTTGCATGGACCACAGTTGTTCTCCTAACTCACACTGTGGAAGATGGAAGAGGAGTTCCTCTGACTGTGGTGTAAAGCCACCTCTAAATTTACCATTGCACCCCATACTGAGAAATTCACAGCACAGCTAAACTCACACAGGTGGGCAGGACTTCTGCTCAGCCAGCCACCACCAGGGCATATGGCAGCATCTAAATACCTGAGAAAGGTCTGATTCTTCCAGAAAAGCTGAGATTGGAGAAGCAGCTTTAGAGCCAGCCTTCCTGCTTGGCTTCTTCAGCAGATTCACACATAGAGCTGACAAAACTGTGTTTCTCTGAAGTTAATTCTCTCCAGGCTCCAGCCAGCCTGGAAATGATAGAATTCTCACCTTCCTGTGGTAGGTGGAAATAAGGTGGACTAGCTCAAATTAACACTGCATCTCATTCAGCTCTCTGGCTGCCTGCACCCCCCAGCGCAGTAATGCTGGGTCAGACATGGCTGCTTCACCTCTGCTGGATAATTTCCTGTACTGGGCATCCAGCTGGCACCACATCAGATTTACTTTCTGGTTTCAGAACATCCCATGGATATAGCTCTGAGGAAGCCTGTGTGCCTGACTGTCTGTTTTTATTGTAGGACCTAGGACTGGAAGGAACATTTCTCAATGAAGTGCTCTACAAAAATGCAACTTTCCTCAACTTGGTGGATCCCATCTCCCATGACCTGCTGATGAGCCTTGCCAGAGATCTGCAATGTCCCAAAAAGGTGAATTCTCCCTCAGCTCAGTGAATGCTTTGTGGCACAGCACTGATGCAGAGCCCTACTGGGGCAGCTGGTGCTGCAATCAATCCCCCAGCCAGGCAGAGTGTTCCCTGGAAGGGGTGGCATATGGATTGTGGGGCATATTTCTGTAGGAGTCAGTTAAAACTACCTCAGAACATGAATGCAGCTGAAAGAGGGGATGGCTTTGTGCACAGATACTAGGAAATAACTTTTTGTGTCCACAGGGCAGAGAGACAATCACTGGTATCACAGGGGTTCGAAGCAATTAGAGCTCATGGGGGGCTCATGGAGCTGCAGAGGAGAACAGAGATCTCTGCAGGAAAACCACCTCTCTCTTCCTGGGCCCTTTACCATATGTAACTACATCAACCCAGCATTATTTCCCCCCATAAACTCTCAGAGTTCCCCATAGAGAATGGTGCTGCAGGAATATATTGCCACTGGGGGTTCAGGAAATAAATGTGTTATGTGCACAGTAACTGTGCATGCTCCATCACTTTGCTTCAGAGGATGAGGAGAGCAGAGACAGAAAGGCAGGGCTGAGAACAGACAAACATCACAGATGTCCCAGTCCCACTGCAACAACCAGCATCTATTTCTGTTACCCTTTGCCACCACAGACACTTGGATTTGCAATGTACCCAGTTGCTCGTTAGGCTTGGCAAGCATCATGTTTGCTTTATAAGGAGAAGAATAGAATGAATTTCTTCATTCAAAGAGAGATATTAAGAACACACAGCTCAGAGCAAGCAGCAGTGCCCCAGGGAATACACCGAATGCCTGGTGTAGATTAGTGGCATTTCTAACCTTGTTCTGCCATCTCCTGAGGCTCACTGATAACAATTAACCAGTCATGTCTCAATAGACAAACCACATTTAGCCAGAGTTTAATCATCATTATTAGGCTGCAGCGCAGCCTGAAAAAAACCAAACCTTTCCAAGTGTAATGTCTGTGTAATTCATGTGAGCATTTGAAGGAAGGGCTGGGTTGTAGCAGTAGCATCTCTTTCACCACACTTCACTTGACCTCATCTCCAGCTGTTCTACCAGACCTTCTCCAAGCCCGTGCTGTGCCGTGCCCCTCAGGGCAGGCAGCAGGAGGGGATCTCACTCTAATCCAGTACCCATGTGTTTGGCAGATAACACATTACCATTTTTATACACCTGCTTATCCCCCCACTCTAGTTTCATGCCCTATGGATGCACTGACACTTGTACCATTACATAAGGAATTGTTTTCCCCATTCCTAAGGAAGACTTTGAGCACCTGAGTTGCCCTTCAAAGCCAGCAGAGGTTTAATTAAATGCTTGTAGAAATTCAGTACCTACAGCACCAGCACCCTTCCCAGAAAAATGCCAGACCACGTCCCCTCTCCGACCCTGGCTGAGCATCTGGTGGGTGTAACTGCATTACAGGCAAGCAGGCTGAGTGCAGTTCCCAGTCTGTCAGTGGAAATTAAATCAGTGAGGACACAGGAAAGAACAGGAGGGTAACTCTCAGCTGTGAGCCAACAATTGCTCGCAGGGCTTTGTGCCAGCTCTGTACTGGAGCCTGGTGTGCACGTGCACCCACTTGGAGAGGTTTGCTGTTGTAGGTGACAGCAGAGTGCCAGCTGCAGCCCTGCCAGCACAGCAGGAGTCTAGAACAAGGCACCTAAGCCAAAGGCATGGGCCAGTCTCTATGGGGTTCCTAGGGAAGCTGGGATGGGGATCAGGGGATGCTCAGCTGAGCAGAAGGCTGGGATCCCTCTCCCCTTGGCACAGGAGAATTGCCACATCCTGGCAGTGCATCCCTGGGGAATTCAGCTGGTTCAGGGACTGCTGAGCAAAGTCACAGAGCAGCTGTTGGCCCCCAGTGCAGTGCTTTAACTGCTCACAGTAAGGAATAAATCAGTGCATTCCCTGACAGCTTTACCGGGTGTTCACCTATCAAATTCCTAAATGCACATGTGGCACCATGGCTGGAGGGCTAAGGGGTGGGAATGCAGGTGTCTGTCAGCAACTGGAAAATACAATAGAGAAGGCAGAAGTCCCAGCCTTTAGCAGCTGCCATTTGCCATTCTGCTTCAGCAGAGGAAGAGGTTCTGTTCCAAGTCATGGCACTAAAGAACATGTGCAAAAATAACCCAGGAAGGCAGCAACTATGTGGGTGCCTTCTTTTCCTGACAAGTTAGGGCAGGGGCAGGAGGGAACTGCTGGCATTGGAAGCTCCCAAACTCAAACCTCCAGTAGCAGAGTGGACTACAAGGAAGTAAGATGGACTATGGGGAAGTAGCCAAAGTTCTCTGTCCTGACATCTCCCAGCACAAGAGGTCGTGGAGTCAGTGTGTCACTGCAGGAGGAGCAAGAAGCACCTTGGGGATGGGGCAAGGGTGCCACTTACTGCCCTTTCCACATCAGGGTGTCAGATAGTCCAGAGACAGAGTCTGGGGAAGCAGGGCAGCAAGGTAATTAATAGAAATGTAGCACAGTCCTGTAACACAAGGAGTTGGCAGTGTAGGGATCCCTGCAACAGAGCATTGTCAGTCACCCCTGCCGCAGCCCTAGAAAAGGATCGCCTCTTCAGAGTTTCACTTGTTCCTGGGTAGGCTGTGAAATTGTAGCCTCACTCTGGGTAGGAACATGCTGGTTGGGCTGGGGTTCTTCCTGGCAGTGCAGAACTCCTCCTCATCCTCCTCCACCCCAGGAGGAGTTGGCATGTGGCAGAGGCATCTCAGGCCTTCTCACCATTCCTCTTTCATTCTCTCTTCATCTGCTCGCTTACATACATGACCCTGCTCCACTGCCATCTTTATTCCTTTCCCATCTTCCTCTGCCCTCCTCCTTTTCTTATGTTCTGCAGTGGTGCAGGCAGTCTAAGTCATCCCTTTGCTTTCAGGAATATGACCCCTGGAAATCCTCAGACAGGATCTGCAGGCAGCTGATTTACCACCTAACCCCGCACTCAAAATGGCACCGGCACGGGATGCCCCGCAGGAAGTCCCAAGTGTGGTAAGAAACTGGCAGGGGTTGTGTGGGTGGGCACAGAGGGGGATGAGCCTGGGAAAACGGTGCTGCAGCCAAGCACCGTCCCAGCCTGCCACCACTCCCCTCCTCAGAGAGACTGCCCTCCTTTCAGAGGACTGAAAAACGTGCGCAGCAGCTGCAGTACAGCCTCTTCCAAAACCCAGCCCCAACAGGCCTCTCTGTGATGTGTTTTGCCATTTGCTCCTTTCTGTGTGGTGTTACAGTTCCTCACCCTCTCCAAAATGAGTGCACAGCACAGACATCCCTCCTTCAGGGTCTGCAGGGTGTTTGGCCCCAGGAGCATGGCCAGGGCTGCTAGCCTGCAAAAACACCCATGTGCCAGAGGGGGCTGTTCCCAGTTCTGCATCATACCTTGTCCTAGTTTAAAGCTTCCCTGACAGTGGGCAAAGTGTCCCGTTACGAGCCACTGCCACCATCAGCTGATCACCCCATTCAGCAGGAGCCACTCTGGGGTGGCTGCAGGGAGGTGACCATCCTTCTTACCTCCCACTTCTCTGCCAGCACCTGGAGAGGGCCCTGGGATGGTGCAGATGCACAGAGAACCCAACTCAGAGCATGTTGGTCACTGACAGCTCCTGGATGGCAACTGCTTTTCACTATTAGAAGTGTATTTGGACAGCCACACTTGTTCCCTCCTTGCCACTTGCTGGTTTTTCTGCCCAGATAAAGAGCAATCCCCATGTACTTTAAATCCACCCCTCCTTCTGTCATTTTCTTGGAGCAAACCCTGTTCCTATGACACAGATCACCACTGCTGAAGAAAAGACAGAGAAGTGACTAAGAAAAGAGCTCATGTCAGCCCCATTAGATTCACTGGAATAAATGCAGGATAGAATAAAAAGAAATGCAAAATCAGCAGCACTCTGAGAATGGCCTTGGGCTTTTCTGATGCTTTTGGTCTTTGATGTTTGTGCCAGCAACTTAAAATCCCCCATGAGAATTGACATTTCCATCATACCTTTCATTCTGACTCAGAGGCAGGTTCCCAGTGCATCTTAAGGAATAAAATCCCTAATGCCATGATTTCCAGGCCATCTGCCTCTTGCACCTGTAGCCCCACTTTGCCAGAAGCCGAGCACTCCCAGAGCTCTCCCCCCCAGCACCCCAAGGGCAGGACTGTTTGTGCTGCTTTTCAGGTGCCAGCCACAGCACAGAGCAAGACTGAGCTTTCAGAGCTGAGTGAATCCTTTTCCAGACCCACTTAATGACATTTTCCCTGTAGGATCCTGCAGAATACTGGAGATGCAGGATATAGATGGCAGTTCTGACCTCATCCCTGTCTCCTCCCAAGTTTAAAGTGAAGTAGTTCAGGAATCCAAACTCCTGCTTGCAGGCAAACCTCTTCTCCAGATGGACTTCAGGATGAAGAGTCAAACTGGAAGTGATCCCTGTGATTGCACAGCCTGGGGACAGCAGAGGACTGCAAAGTGCTGCAAACCCATCACTTAGTAACAACAGAGGGAAGGTTTGTGGCCAGAGGAAGAGCTCTGGGTCCAGTGAGCACCCCACACAGAGGGGCCAGGCCCAGGTATTGGCCAGGTACAGAAAATCTGTGAGCACAAGCAGGGAGAGGGCAACAAGGCAATGTGCAATTGGTCTAAAATGGGCTGGCCTGCCTGGCTACCACACCCAGTTACAATGTGTTACGTAAGGCACAAATTAATTTTGATGAAATATTTAACAGCAGAGCTTTCTCTTTTAAGTGTGGAGATGAAATGGTTTGCAGTTTGCAGCAAAAGACGCCTGCAGAGTTGGCATCTGAGGCCGCTGCAAGAAAATGGGTGTTGCCAGTAGCAGGAAGGCAAGAAATAGCTGCTTCTTTTGGAGATACCAAGGCATCAGTTTGTTTAGGCAGGCTGGTTTTTCATGATCCAAATTCTGCACCTCCCTCTGTCTGCTAGTGGGAGTATTTTACTATAGTGTCTGTCTTAAACCCTGTGCCCTTGGCTTGCACCCTTTCTGCTCTTTGGCTCCTGCAAAGAGCATGGGTGTAGCAGCAATACTTTGAAGGAATTTCTAAAATCTAGTGGGGGTTAAGGACAGCAGGGAGGAATCTGTGATGAGACCACATTCAGAAACCAAATTCTGCTCTTGCTTTTGCAGCCTCCTGGGCTTTGGCATCTGGCTTTCACAGAGCTGATGCCGGACTCCCTTGTTCTCTGAAATGCAATTTCTACTTTCTGCAGCATGTTAGATGGGTCCAGCAGATAATTAGCAAGCCCAGCCATACAGGGAGCTTGGAGCATCTGCCAGGTTTTAATTACATTTGGGCTGTTATGGAGATGTGGTACTGCAATACTGGAGTCGGATCACGCACCAGGTGTTTGTCCCCACTGCCAAACCAGTGGGTCACAAACAAACTAACAGCAGTTACATCCCCAGCTACTCTCAGTGGGACCTGCATCCACCAGGTACACACCTGAGAAACCCATGAGCTGGTAAAGCAAAAAGGATAAGAGACATTTCTTCAGGCAGTGCTGTTTCAGTCCACAGGCAGAGCCCATGCAGAAAGCTCATTGTGGGTCATGGACTCAATGCAACAGCAGCTGGAGGGAGCAGGAGACATCCAGCCCAGGCTCTGTCTGGTTTCTGTGCTTGACCAAAGTGCTGAAGGTGAAGCTGGGAGGCAACCTGCCCTCTGCATCCATGCCTGTGGCTTCCCTGGAGTGGCTGTATGCCTTACACAAGGAAGGGTTGCAGTCCCCAGCTGTGCAGTCACCCACAGAGACTATTTCAGCTGCCCTGGTGATACTCAGACTAAGTTTGCCACACTGAAAAGAAGGGGCTCCTTTCCTGCAAAATCCTGTCTCAGGTTTGCAGCCAACAGCCTGCACCCCACTGGCTCTGCCCTACTTGGGTTGGCTGCAGAACCAAACTAGGAAGATAAGCTCTTGCAGATTTACTCTGGGGGTTTTAAAATTGAAAGCTCCAAAGCTGGAGGATAAGATTTCTGCAGTTTTTTTTTTTTTTTTTTTTTTTGCAGCAGGGACGAGCATAACTACTACACAATTTTCAGTCCTTGATATCCTAGAGGGAATTTAGTTTTAGCACCATTTTACAGTTGTATAGATCACTCCCACTTAATGAGCAGAATACATCCTGGAGTGTTGCATAACTCCAGCTTCACTTTCTCATTAAATTGATGTTTAGTGTGTAAAGCGTAATGGATTAAAAAATGCTCCTTTATACAGACGTAGACCTTTTAGGCTATCAGTGCCACTACTGTGGCATTTTGACACACGCAGAACTTTTAGATGCTATTAATTCTTGTTTTCAGAATTCTTGGGGCCTCTTGCCATGCTGAATTCATGAAAACTGTCACCATCTGCTGCCAGAACAGGGCAGGACCCAGAGGATGTATTATTTTTTGAGGGCCAGACACACTGGGCTGCAGTTCAGAGCAGAGAGGGAGAAGAGTATCAGGTGAAGACTGCCTTTGTCTGGAGAGCTGGATCACAGTCTGGTACTGTGATTAGGAAGCTCTGGATTACAACTGAACTGTCTTGGCAAGGCCGTGTAGGGAACCTTAATGTATCTTCCACTTGCATCATCCCCAGAGCTGGCTACTTCAGTGTAACTATTTCCTTTCCTGAGTGCAAAGGATCAAACCTGCATCCACGTAGCAGGCAGGGAGGCAGTAGACACAGCTTTATAATTGGGACCAAAAAAACCCCAAATTTTTCACACAGTGGCCTGTTCTGGAAGAGCAATGGCAGTTGTGTGTATGGAGTTAACTCCTGAACCACATGTATATGGCCTTTCCTTTTCACAAATCTCACCACAGCTTTACTTTGCTCATCTGAGTGAATTTCATCATGGCTAATCCAAAGTGGGTGGAGAGCAGAGTTTCCCTTCTGGGCTTATTGCTCCCTTTCTGTTATTGATGTGCGTTGGCCAGACATTGCAGCATTAGATGCACTTTTAAAATGCAGTGAAAGCAATTGTGTCTAGAGGACTTCAAGGAAACAGCTCTAAAGGGCTTCACATCTTTTTTTTCCCTTGAAAACATCACTCAGCACTGAGGCTGACAGTTCTGGCAGATGAGATCCCAGCCTTCACATGGCATGAGGAGAATATTAACTAGAGCTTCGTGTCACCCTTATGCAACAGGCAAACAGGCACCATCATTGCTGCTCTAGGGAGAGGAAGCCAAGTCAGTTAACTAAAGCCACATGGTAAACATCATATGGGAGTACAGGAGCTGCCCCACACACTGTTTCCAAGAAGCTGCTGCTCACAGAGATGTCAGATGGACAGACATGAGCTGGTGGGTGAGTTGTGGACAGAGGCAGGAATTGTGCCCTCATCTTACAGTGCAGAGCATCCCAAACACTACCCCTGAGGAGGGTTCCCAACAGCATCAAGAGCCCATACATTTGGAAAGGCTGTTGGAGGTGGCAGAAAGGGTCACCCAGCAGCTTGACACTGCCCTGTCAGAGTCAGGAGTAAAAAGGCCAAGGCTGGCAGACAAGAGAAGCAGGACACTGGTGGAGAGACAGTGAGTGAAATAACAGAGGCTGGGTGGAAGGGGGTAGTTAAAAGCAATCAGCAGAGACCTTGTTCCTTTGTGACTCTTACCCAGTTGAAGGTCTGACAAGGACATGGGTCAATACATGATATTTACACCTTGATGGACAGAGTGACAGCAGAGGCAGGAAGAGAAAGGCACTCAGCTGCATCAACAACTGCTGATTTCCATGTCCCACCCCAGCTGCAGAGGGAGTGAGACAGGAGAAAGGCTACCTTTGCCTCCTCTCCACAGCTGGTCAAAAGAGCTTGGGCACGAGGATGGGGATGTGACTAAGGGAGTTCTCAAGGAAGTGACCTATTTGTGCACTGCCTCCATCTTCACAGCAGGGCCAGGCCCAGCCTTGGATCAGCTGGGGCTGGGTTAGTCTAGCTCAGTACTTTGGAGGCTTCTCTTTCCTTTTTCATGTTGCATTAGAGGCAGCTAAAGCCAGCCC